TCGCATTTCTTCGACGGATCATACTTTGCATAGCCGGCAGCGTTAGATCTTTGTGGCTCTGAATTCAGCAAGTTCTTCTTCCTTAGCACCGCCAGTACCTGAGATAACGTCCCGGGAAGTGGAGTAAACTGGCGGGATTTGCGCTGTTGGCGTGGGTCTTGCTGGCCTTGCCGTCCATAAGAGGTCGTCTGCTGGGTGCTAAATTGTAGCTTAGGGGCCTGAGCTGGCGTCTTCTGCACATAGGTCATGTTGACTTCGGGGACATGCTCTTTGTCCTTCTTACTAGTAAATCTCTTGCTTGATGAACCTGACTCACTGTACCATCCTTTCTTGAGCCCGGTCTCAATCTCCTCACCCATGGCTATCAGCTGGCCAAAAGATTGGGCGGCTGTTACTAACATTCGTGAACGAACCGGCTGCGGTAGAGTGGACACGAACAACTTCATTAAGTCACGTTCTGAGGGTTCAGGCATGATCTGCCCTGCCATGTTCCTCCAACGAGTGGCATACTCCTTCAGAGTCTCGCCCTTTTTCTGCTCAGCTCTCTCCAGGTCTTCCCTTGTAATAGTGACGTCGAGATTGAACTTGAAGTGCTTGACGAAAAGGTTTGCCACCTCTTCCCACGAGTCTTTCCGGTTGATCTGGTGGTTGGTATACCACCTCATTGCAGCATCCTTCAAGCTTGCTTGGAAGGTTTGGATCATTAGGGGTCCGTTAGACACATATCTATTCATGAGCCCCTGGTACATATCGATGTGCTGAATTGGGTTCGAGGTGCCGTCGTACTTCTCAAAGGTTGGCATCTTGAATTTATCGGGCACTTGGACCCGGGTAAAAATGGACAAATCAATAGGCGGAACACTTTGAGTTCCCTCCACTTCACGTAACCTCTGGTCGAGCTTGGCCAACAACTTGGCATTCTCATCGTTGGGGGATGAATGAGGAACAGGGACCGACGGAGAAGCACTAGTGTCGATCAAAATAGCATCATCTAGTTGAAGGGTTGTATTAGTGTTTACTGCAGGAGATTTGTCAAGGCGGAGGCCTTGACGGGTTGGAGGTGGAATCTCCGATTGGGAGGCAACATTGATCTGCTGCTGCTTGGCCATGAGATCACTCATCATTTTGGACATGGCAGCCGTGATTTGCTCATTGATTGTACTCATGTGTTCTTTCGGCTTTTCGTCGATCATGGCTGCAATCTCGGCTTGATTGGCCATCCTTCTTTTGGTCACCGATCGAGTATTATGAGGATGAGAGGGATCCGTGGCAAATTACGTGCAAAAAGCAACGGTGGAATAAATACGACAAGTAAGAATAACGAGTCGGTCCATGACATCCTCTAGACCCTCAAGATGAAATTTCTTTCGAACGACCGATTCGTCCAGTAAATCCCGAAATTCCAAATTGCTTTATTCAATAAAAACCTGGACTGATTCCAAAATTTACAAATTATAGCTCAACGTTTTTCATTGAATTGCTCAAAATGGAAAATGTCTCAAAAGAATTCTTATAAAAATCGTTCAGCAACATTTATTACCAAAAAACATCAATAGCATGAAGTACAAATGTAAGCTAACATCCCATCCTAAAAAGAAAGAAAAACTCCCTAAACCAAACTAGAAATCAGATAGTCTTCCTCTTTTTAGAGGCTACGTGATCTATAGACGAATGGGCCTTCAAGGCGCGCCGTAATCGTGCATTCTCTTCAGCCAGAGCATCTGCCTTATCCTGGGCCTTCGTCGCCTTTTCTTCGCTGATTTTGATTTGAGTCTGAAGGGTATGCCGTACTGTCACGATCGGGATCTTCGGGAGTATCTCAGCAGGGATGGTATGATGCTGAATATACCGGGCTGTGGCAAAGTGACTTCTCATCCTTCCGGTGGGCTCATCCGCAGGCCAAATCAGCTTCTGAGTGGAACAATTCTGCCAAGCCTCAGAATGACGCCTAAGCTCGACTCTGTAGGACTCGTCCTTCTCGAACTGGACTTGAAATTCATTGGGCCTGAGTGGAGGTGGGACATCCTGCAGAACTCGGAATTGACGTGTAACTCGAAGGGGCTGATAGCAGGTTGCCCCATAAATGCCCATCAAAGGTACGGGCTTCTGATCGCCATGGTATAATCGAGCCTCAACCTCCCGAAACCATACAGCTTGCCAAAGGAAAATCTTAGAGCTTGGATCCTTGAACAGATGGACCCATTGTGTATAGTGCAAGCTCTTAGTTTGATCTTGTATTTGTTTGAACCTTAAAATAGGGTCATTAGTCATGTCCATTTCAAATACAGTCATATTTTCCCCAAATTGAGAAAGGTGTGAGAAAAGCCAGATTTGTAAAAGCTCAATCGGGGCTCGAAAAGCTCTATCTTTTCCTTTCTTGAATCGTGTCAGAAACATGAAAGTTTCTACCAGAATTGTGTTTATAAAACTAACTCCACCACATATTTGTTTTACCGTCCTAGCTATCACCAGATCAATAGCATTTTGACGGAATGGAAAAACGATGAGTCCAAAAAAAAAACTAAGATAAAAATTTTAGATCTCATGAGGACGGAGTTATTTTCGAAACATTCAATAAGAAAAAGATAATGGGCATGCTTGACAATTACCCTTTAGCACTTTTTCAATTTCCTTTTTAGTCAAATTCAAAAATTCAGCAAGCACTACCACAGGATCTACCTTAATGGGTGGTTCGACTATATCCAACTCAATCGATTTCCCAATGGCAATACTGTATTCTTCCAGAGTCGGTGTGAGCTCAAACTTACCTCCCAACACAAATGTGGTTGTCTCGGGGCACCAAAAATGAGCGAGTGCTTGCATGATCCCGCTCTGAACATCTATGTCTAGGATTGGCAGCATGAATCCAATACGCTTGAGAACGTACTGCTGACCATTTGGCTTCAACTGGCTCCATAACTTCTTGAGCTCTAGCTTCGGAGTAGGCACGAAACGGATATCGAGGCGACCCATTCTTATAGACCACGTGCCAAAAGACTCAACCTAAACCATGGCCCGACTCAAAATAAGATACAGAAAACCAAAGATAAAGCTCAAGAAATTACCATCTTTGGGGAAAAAATGTCAATCACAGAGACATGCACATGAATCGTGAGTTTAAATCTTAATCTATCTATCCTAATGGCTTTTGCAAAGTGAAATGATGAACGGAACGACACGTCACAGCCTCGCGTACAATCATCATGACTAGTCGCGGCCTCGCATACCGTAGTCATGACTAGTCGGGTCCAATCACTTCGGCTTGGTTCGATCGACAAGGGTAACCTCCATGCATTGTAGCCTTACGTGCATGAGGATGACCCTTGAGCCATTTTTTGAAAAAAATTTCGGGATCCAAATGGGATAACCTTTAGCGAAGTCTTACCGCCAAGGTTAAAGAACCATCCTAATACCATCTTAAAACTATGGGTGTGACCCAGGTCCGATCACAGGTTGTGTGTGGTGTAGTGCAAATACTGTAAATCATGCACAACAATTATATGCAAACACCACTTCAATAGTACAAAAATTAAATCATAATTCCACTCCACCAAGCCTGCAAAACAAAGGGTTAGCCAATCACTACTCCCCTTATAACTCCCATCCTGCAAAACCATTTAACACCTAAGAATAAGAATCCAATCAAATTTTGTCAAATCGAGTGATTTTTCCATAAAAAATATTTTGTCCTAAGTCCTCCTTAAAATTTTTTTTCAAAAAAAATTAAAGTTAATCTCCCCAGCGGAGTCGCCAAGCTGTCGATCTTAGGCTAATGGATTACTAGACCAATTAAATTAACTAACCTAGCTCGAGTTCTCCTAAACTCTACCAAATCGCAACTTAGGTCCAATTGTGAGCATGTAAATATTTTCAATGGGAGTCGCCACTAATCATTTAAGGTAGGTTGATTAGAAACCTAAATAAAATAGCGGGAGTACTATTTTATTTCTGCGAACTAGAAATTATAAATTCGGGGACTTGGTTACGCTAGATTCCCTAACGCCCTTTCGGTACCAATTTCAAGAGAAATACTCAATTGGACAATTTTGATAAATCCTGACTTAGAGTTCAAAGGTGCAGAAATTTTCTTTTTGATTTTTTATTTATTTAAATGAAAGCTAACCTATATGTAATGAAGTGCAAAAATTGACATGTGATTAATGCAACCTAACTTGCAAACTACATGTCATGCGACGACGTGATCTATTTCTAATGACGGGCATATTATTTTTTTTGTATTTTTTTCTTTAATGAAATTCGGAATTAAAAATGCCAATTATCTAAACATGCAATTTTAAACTAAAGAAATTAACCTATTCTAGAGTAATCTTTTTGGCATTTTTTTATCAAAATTCGAAATTAAAATCAAGTAAAAAATATAACCGCCAAATCTTTCGAATTAAGTTTCGATATGAAGCCTGACAGATCGATCCTAAAATTCGAAATACCTGCTATGGAAATAACTCTATCTAAAGCCTGATAGATAGATTTATTTCCACGTGTGCGGTTGCGGATTAGGAAATTTTCCGCAATCGATCACATCTTGAAAAATATTAGATATCTTAAATATCTTGGACAATCGATCACATCTTGAAAAAAATTAGATATCTTAAATATCTTGGATATATTCAAAAGATTTTGAAAATTCTAAATTCTATCCAAATTTGAAAAGTAATAGATATTCAAGATTTCAAAAAAGGAAATAAAATCCTAATTGAAATAATGCTTATTATCCAAATATGCAAAATTAGATATCAATAAGCACAAATTAGGCAACCAAATATTCGAATCAAATCGGGATATGATAATTACCTGATTTGCAGATTTCTTTCCTAATTTGAATCTGTAGCGGATCGGGATTGCGGATCGGCGGTGCGTCGGGAGCGGCGGCGTGACGTCGGGAACAGTGGCGGCTAGCGACGGTGACATGACGGGAACGGCGGCGCGGCGGGCGCCTCCGGGCAGCGGCCAACAGGCGGGGACGGGCGACTCTCCGGCGGTTATGCAGCGAACAGCGGCAGCACAGGCAGTGGGCTAACGGCGGTGCAAGCGGCTCCATTGGCGAGCGGCGGTGCGGGCGGCTCCCGGGCCGCGAGCGGTGGTGCAGGAGCGGCTCTCCGCGGCCGTGGTGAAAGCGGCAGCGTTGACACGAGCGGCGGAGCGAGGGACGTCCAAAGCGGCGGTGGCACCGCGCGGCGGTGTTGTGCGGCGAGGCGGCAGCGGCGAGGCGTGCGCGCAGCGGTGGCACACGACGGGGAGAGCGGCGCGCAGCGGCGGGGAGGCGGCGGCGCGGCGGTGGCACGCGGCGGGGCAGAGGCGGGAGGAGAGGACGGAGGCTGCGAGGCGGGCGGTGCCGCAGCGGGCATGCGATGGGCGAGAGCGGAGCGGCTTCCGGCGTAGTGCGGCGAGCGGTGGCGCAGCGGGCGTGCGGTGCGGCGCGGCGGGCGGTCTCCTCCTCTCTCTCTCTCACTCTTCTCAAAATTCTCTCGTATGTCTCTCTAAAAATCCGATCTGAAAAATTATGAGAGCCTCTCCCCCAATTATGAGACATAAACATATATTTATAATGTAAACCTAGATCAATTAGCCGGGCTTTCTAGTCCTAATGGGCTTAGGTTTAGGCTTTAATTTAATTCTAAGTGGGTTGAATTAATTTGGGCTTTTCTTTAATTAAGCATAATGGGCTAATTTAAGCTCAAATTAAGACAACCAAGCCCTTTTGTGTGTGATTTTCGGCCCATGCTTTCCGAGTGAGCCGAGTCTCGTTCGGTGCCCGAGCTCGATTTACGTGATGAATTTTAAGCTCGCTTACCACCGCCGATCCGATGCGAAATGCAGTTAATCTATATGAACCTAAACTTTATGCTATGTGATTTGTAATATTTTTGTTCAGGGATTAAAATTTAATCCCTAATTTTCTATGCAATTAATCACTAAATGATGCGCCGAAATTTAGGTGTCAACATCATGGTTGAAAGTCGGTTCACGATCGAGTTCTTTGGTCGCGCGAATTGAAATCCCTAATTAGCCTTTCCCTAACGGTTAGTATTCCCGAAGTGATCAATTCTGGGCAAGATCTAATTACAAGCACGTCCATAAACTATTCATTTCATAAATCCCAAGTGGTTCGGATTTTAGAATGTCACAACTCTTCCCCCCTTATAAAAATTTCGTCCTCGAAATTTACAAATCAAACTAACTACTCAAGCAAATGTGGGTATTGACGTTGCATTTGCTCTTCACTTTCCCACGTCGCTCCTTCTGTCCCATGATGTTCCCAAACAACCTTGACCATCGCATTTGCTCTTCACTTTCCCACGTCGCTTCTTCTGTCCCATGATGTTCCCAAACAATCTTGACCATCGGGATCGTCTTGCTCCTTAGAACCCGTTCTTTCCGATCTTCGATCCTTACTGGTCTCTCGACATACGACACCCTGTCATCGACTTCTATCTCCTCATAACTCAACACGTGAGTTGGGTCCGGTTCATATTTTCTCAACATCGATACGTGGAACACATTATGCACTTGTGACAAATTTGGCGGAAGTGCAAGGCGATAAGCTAAATCTCCAATCCTTTCTAAAACCTCAAAGGGTCCCACGTACCTCGGACTCAACTTCCCTTTCTTACCAAATCTGAACAGTCCTCTCATGGGCGATACCTTAAGGAATACGTGATCCCCTACCTGAAACTCCAAAGGTCTTCGCCTTCTGTCTGCATAATTCTTTTGACGGCTTTGAGCTGTTTTTAGCCTCTCACGAATTACCTTAACAGCCTCAACCGACTGCTGAACTAATTCTAGCCCGGTTATACTTCTTTCTCCTACTTCGTCCCAACATACAGGCGTCCTACATGCTCTGCCATACAGTGCTTCAAAGGGCACCATTCCGATGCTCTGCTGAAAACTATTATTATACGCAAATTCTGCTAAGGGCAATTGCTCTTCCCACTTACCTTGAAAATCCAATGCACATGCCCTAAGCATATCCTCTAAAGTTTGAATCGTCCTCTCAGACTGGCCATCCGTTTGTGGATGGTAAGCTGTACTAAACTGCAGCTTTGATCTTAATGCCGTCTGCAGACTTTTCCAAAAATTGGCGGTAAACCTAGGATCACGATCTGAGGTAATCGTCACTGGTACCCCATGCAAACGAACTATCTATTGCACATACAACTCAGCATATCGATCTAATGCGAAGTCCTTTCGCACAGCCAAAAAGTGTGCTGACTTTGTCAATCTGTCGACAATCACCCAAATAGTATCATGGCCTCTTTGGTTCCTTGGTAATCCCGTCACAAAGTCCATAGTTATATGTTCCCATTTTCATTCTGAGATTTCCAAAGGTCGCAATAATCCACTGGGCTTACAATGTTGCGCCTTTATTTGCTGGCACGTCAGACACTTGGCTACATGCCTGGCTATGTCCACCTTCATGCCATTCCACCAATAATACTGCCTCAAATTCTGATATATTTTGGTACTACCTAGATGGATGCTATAACTACTACGTTGTGCTTCTGACAAAATTTCTTCCTTAAGTTCCGCATCGTCAGGTACACATAACCGTCCACGGAACTTCAATATCCCGTCTTTGGATATTTGGAAGTCCAGCTTTCTCTTGGTATCATCTATCTTTAGAATCCTTTGGATTTCTTGATCCGTAGACTGTAGAGTCTTAATCTTAGCTTGGATCTTTGGTTCAATCCTTAGCTTGGCTAGCAAGCTCGAGACTTGACTTACTTCGAATCTAAACTTCGAGTCTCGCACTTTTTCCAACAAAGCCCATTCCTTAACCATCAAGTGTGCGATGCTTGACTTCCGACTCAATGCATCGGCTACCCGGTTGGCCTTCCCGGGATGATATAATATATCACAATCGTAATCCTTCAATAACTCCATCCACCGACGCTGCCTCATATTTAACTCTTTTTGAGAAAACAGATATTTAAGGCTCTGGTGATCTGTATATATCTGAAATTTCTCTCCGTATAGATAATGTCGCCAAATCTTAAGGGCGAATACTATAGCGGCTAAGTCCAAATCATGCGTCGGGTAGTTTAGCTCATGCGGTCTTAACTGTCTTGACGCGTAGGCCACTACTTGTCCATTTTGCATGAGTATACACCCCAGTCCTTTCAACGACGCATCGCTATAAATTTCGTATCCTCTGGGTCCTGATGGAATAGATTGACACCGGTGCCGTTGTCAATCTATGTTTTAATTCCTGAAAACTCCTTTCACATTAGTCGGTCCATTCAAACCTTGTTTCCTTTTTCAACAAATGTGTCAACGGTGTCGCTATTGCCGAAAACCCTTCCACGAAACGTCGGTAATATCCTGCCAAACCCAGAAAGCTTCGAACCTCTGTTACCGTCGTCGGTCTTAGCCACTTCATTACGGCCTCAATCTTCGTTGGATCCACTGAAATTCCTTTCCCAGAGATCACGTGTCCGAGAAATGCTACTCGATTGAGCCAGAACTCGCACTTACTAAACTTAGCATACAGTGCGTTCTCTCTTAAAGTCTGCAAAACTTTACTCAAGTGAAACTCATGCTCCTCTAGGCTCTTCGAGTACACCAGTATGTCGTCTATGAAAACGATCACAAATTGATCTAAGAACTCCTTGAACACCCGATTCATTAAGTCCATAAAGGCAGCAGGGGCGTTCGTCAATCCGAACAGCATTACCCTAAATTCATAATGTCCATATCTCGTCCTAAATGTCGTCTTCGGTATATCCTCCTTCCTAATCGTCAATTGATTATATCCCGTTCTCAAATCAATTTTAGAAAACACCGAAGCCCCTTGTAATTGATCAAACAAATCATCAATCCTCGACAGGGGATACTTATTTTTTATTGTCACCTGATTTAGCTGCCTGTAGTCAATACATAACCTCAACGATTCATCTTTCTTCCTCACAAATAAAACTGGCACTCCCCACGGAGACACACTAGGACAAATAAATCCTTTGTCTAATAATTCTTGCATTTGCACCTTTAACTCCGTTAACTCCGATAACGACATTCTATAAGGTGCCTTCGAGATTGGCTCAGTCCCAGGAGCCAACTCGATTACAAACTCTACTTCTCTTTCTGGTGACAATCCCGGCAATTCCTGAGGAAAAACATAAGGATAATCGCACACCACGGCTACGTCCTCTAGCCTCGGCTCTTCAGCCGTCGAATCAACTACAGCTGCTAGAAATCCTTGACACCCTTCGTTCAACAACTTAGTCATTTCTAGCGACGAAATCCATGGGATCAAGGGTCCCCCTCGATTTCCCACAAACTTGAATTCCGGATGTCCAACAGGATTAAATTGGATCACCTTGTTACTACAATCCATCACGGCCCTCTGCTTAGACAGCCAATCCATACCCACTATCACATCAAAATCATACATAGCTAGAACCGCTAAATCAATCCTTTCCTCCCTATCTCCAATCACAATCTTACAATTCGGGCACCCCAACGAGACTAGCATCTTATCATTCAAGGGAGTCATAACACACAATACAACATCAAGTAACTGCGATTCGATACCAGTCAACTCAACAAATTGCTCAGATATAAATAAATGTGACGCCCCGGGGTCAAATAAAGCGTACGCAGCATGATCGCACAGAGAAACCGTACCTGTGACAACCCCTGGCTCGTTCTCAATCTCTCTTCTGGCCATAGCGTACACCCGTCCTTGCGCCTGTGGCCTATTCTGATTAGCTGTCTGGGCAGCTCCAGTTTGGTTCCCGTTCCGGGGTGGCGACAACGCAGGCGATCTATTCTGCCTGAGGTTCGGGCAAAACCTTATGTGATGACCAAATCTACCACATTCGAAATATGCTCCGCCCCTGGTTGGACAAGGTCCATTTCCATGTCTTTCTCCACACACTCGACATGGACCATTCTGATTACGGGCCGATTTCCCTATATTCCTTATAGCAGGAGGGACAAAACGTCGATTACCCGTTATCGGCCTCTTTCCTAATTGTCGGTTGTCCCTACCCTAGGCAAATCTCGACCCAGAAGCGGCGGTCCTATCCGCCAAGTCCCGCTCAATTGCTTGAGCCTTATCATAGATCTCATTATACTCTCTTAAATTCAATGAAATCATTTGGCTACGAAGGTCCGGTTTCAAACCGTCTCGGAACCTCCGAGCTCTATCCAACGGGTCCTCAACCATCTTCGGGGCGAACTTAGACAATCGAGCAAATTCAACCTCGTACTAATCTACTGTTCTCTGCCCCTGACGTAGCCTCATAAACTCAGACAATTTCTATTTCCGGGCACTCTCAGAAAAATATTTACCATTAAAGGTTTCTACAAACATCGCCCAAGTCTAGGCGGTACCAGCCGGGAATAT